ATAATTTCCAATACAATATGTGTCCTCTATGGTGAAGACAGATGCATATTACTTGTTTAACATTTGTGCCATTATAACCATAACATGATCGTAAGAAATAGGAGCAGAAATAAGCCATTTGGCCCATCAAGTTTGTTCTGCCATTCAATGAGATCATGGCTGATCTGACAATCCTCAGCTTCAATTACCTGCCTTAATTCCCTTACTGATTAAAAAAAAAAAGACTCTCTCAGCCTTGATTATACTTAATAACTCAATGTTGGCAGCTCTCCGCAGTACAGTTCCATAGTTTCACTGTCCTGAGATAAAAAAAAAAATCCTCCTCAAACTATCTCAAATGGCTAACCCGTAATTCTCATGCTAGACTTTCCCATAAAGGGGAAACAAACTTCTCAAATCTAACATGTCATGACCCCTAAGAGTCTTACATATTTCAAGTATTTTTCATTCTTCTAAACTCCATTGAGTATATGCCCAACTCACTCAAACAATCCTCAAAAAAATCCCTCCATTCCTAGAATCAATGCAGTGAACTTTTGTTGGAATGCCTCTAATGGCAATTTATCTTTCCTTAAATAAGGGGCCCAAAACTGTTCAGAGTATTCCAGCTGTGGCATGACCAGTGCATTGTATAGCTTTAGCAAGACTGTTCTATTTTTGTGCTCCATTCCCTTTGAAATAAAGGCTGACATTCTACTTGGCTTCTCCATTACCTATATCCAACTTTCTGTGATTCAAATTTCTCCAAACTGCAGCTATCTGCTACTTTTCTCCATTTAAATAATACTCACTCTTCTATTATTCCTGTCGAAGTGCATAATCTCAATTTTCCTACATCAGATCTATCAGCCAACTTTTTGCCCACTCATTTAACTTGTACATATCCTTGTGTGGACTCGGCTCATCCTCACCATTTGCCTTCCCATCTATTTTTTTGTCATCTGCAAAATTAGTCATAGTACATTCATTTCACTCATTCAAGTCATCCTCCCAAACCTTAGGCTTAATTCCCTTTTGACAACATTATATGCCTCTTCTTTTAGTTAAATGGAATTCTTAAAAATAATTATTTCTTCATTTAGGCATAGTTTAATTACTTTTTCAATGTTTTTTTAAGCTCAAAGGAATGTATAACTGAAAAATTATGAATTGTTTCTTTAAATGTTGCAAATGCCTATCCACTGATGCAAGTCCAAAGATGTGCAGGTTAGGTGAACTGGCCATGGTAAATACTCCATAATGTTCAGGGATGTGCAGGCTATTGGGGTTTAGTCATCGGAAATGCATGGTTACAGGGATGGGGGTGGGGGGTGGGGAGGTCAGTCTGGGTGGGCTACTCTTTGGTAGGTCAGTGTGGACTCAATGGGCTGAATGGCCTGCTTCCAAACTGTAGGGATTCTATTATTCTATGGCTTCTATAATCTTCTAATTTAATTTCCCTATTCATCTCAACCAGCTCATTCCACTTAGCATTTGACTTGATAAAATTTAAGACTCTAGTTTCAGACTTGACTATTATGCTCAACTTAATGTCAAGGTCTCATATGTTATGACCACTCTTCCCAGATGCTGCTTTTCATTACTAAATAACCCTGTCAGACTGCACCATATTTTACTTAAAAGTAGCCTGTTCCCCTCTAATCGTTTGGCATAACATTCCATAATCTATTGTGCAAAATTATTACATAAACATTTAAACAATTGAAATCATGGAATCATAAAATCCCTACAGTGTGGAAACAGGTCCTTCGGCCCAAGAAGTCCAAACCACCCCTCACAGCATCTCACCCAGACCCATCCCCCTATAACTCACATAATCTACACATCCCTGAACACTATGGGTAATTTAGCACGGCCAATCCACCTAGCCTGCACATCTTTGGACAGAGAGGAAACTGGAGCACCCGGAGGAAACCCACGCAGACACGGGGAGAATGTGCAAACACCGCACAGATGTTTGCCTACCTTGTTCTGAAAGAGTTTCTTGTTGAATTATATGAGTAATTTAACAGGAACTATGATGTAAAACTTAAATTAAAAAGGATTCTTTGTTATTTTTATACAATCTGCTTGAAGAAACCATAATTGTTATACGGTAAGCAGGGTTTCAATTCAAACTTACTTTCCAAAATCTGTAACAAGAAATATGAACATATTTCCACTGAACAGTAATCATTACAGAAAATCCAGGGGTTGCCCAACTAAAATTCCAAGACCCAATGAGCTGCACTATAGGGCAGGTTCCCTCCAACTTAGCAGCAGACCCCAGAACAACACTGAGACATAGTGGGAGGGAAAGGAAAACAAAAAATTATAGGCATGGTTGGTGGCATGGGTGACACAGTGAGTCGAGGCTCAGCCTCTCACTGATGGTGAACCTCCAAATATACATATTCTCCTAAATGTACAAATTCCCTTCTTGATAGCCCTTTCCATCAACCCATATTCCCATCCAACAGGTCTATCTAAATCTTCATCTGCCCGCTTTAACATTCCCCTCCCAACCATTCCTCAAAATGAAGTCTTGATTTTAAAGTTCTCATCCTTGTTTCAAATACTTTAAGGCATCACCCCTCTCTATTTCTGTAATATCCACCTCACAACTATTGTCTCATACAGCCTCTGAATGATCTAACAAGTGCCATGCTTTTAATAATTACAGCAGCATACATCTTGACCGTTACTGTCACTTTAACCTCCGAGCAAAGGACTGTTAGACTCCCTCATGACAGGAAGTTAACAGACAACAGCTTTGCCTAAGAGAATTAATCAGATGGAGTTAACAGCTGATCTTCATTCATGTCAGTTCCTGGAGCCCAAAACTCTCACTCAGTCTGACTAATGCACACCAGTCAATTTCCTAATACTAAACATCAAGCAGACATCAACATGAAGTCTTCAGCTTCCGCTCCTGACTGTCAGTTGGACAGTCTGAGGTTTCTCTCTCCTTGTCTTTCTCACACCAGCTCCATTATGCAACAACGAAAACAGCACTTATCCTTCACTTCCCTCTGTGACGCTGCTACTCACCACCTCCTTTTCTCACACCCTCCCTTGCCACCTTGTGTTTGGTGGGTCTCTACCTGACCTTCATACCTGAAGCCCATCTTGCTACCTCATTTGCTTTTTCTCTCTCACTGCCCCTCTCCTAAGCTCTTGTTGGAGCAAGTGTAAGGGAAAGGGAAGCAGTGAGTGGGAATGTCAGGGAGAGGGGTGGCTGGCAAGAGGGTGGGCAAACAGGAGAGTTGGTGAGCTGTAGGCACGGAGTGACAGTGGCAAGCAGGATGCAAGTGGGAAGAGTTAAGTTAAGAGTTAGTAAGAGGATTTAAAGCCACTTAATACTACTCTGCTGCAGCTGGTTTTGTAGAATCATTAAAGGAAGACTAATTCCAAAGATATGTGACACTTCAAAAACACAGGGACATTGCTAGGGAATTCAGAAAAAGACTTTTGGATTCCCAGCCAAATCTCAAAATAATAATGCAAAGGTTTTGTAGCTCTTTATATTTTGGATTTGTCAAATTGAAATAAAAGTCTCTTGTCTTGTTTGAAGGTATTACCACCAAGTTAACTTTCTGATAGCTAAAATACAAGTTACAATATTAAAACTAACAAATGTTTCTGTTAGAGTAACAGTTATGGCACAGAACCTAGAACCCAGAGTTGTAAGTTCAAATGCCACTACGGAAATCTAATCTTTTGCAGGTTGGTGCATTACCGTGTCAATGACTGGAGTGGTATTCTCTCTTTTTCTGGCATACATAATGGTAACTTTTTAAAATATGTTACATTTCACTTTTTTTTATATCTACTGGTGGTGCACATCCACACATTACCTTAATATTGATGCACACAGTATAATTCCTTCTGCACATGGATGGAAAAAAACAGGGAACATTGCCCACAATCCTGTGCAATGTTTGTATTCCTGAATTCTGAATCCTTAAGCATCCCCAAATTTGCTTGCTCCACAACTGATTGCCTTACCTTCCACTGCCGTGTCCTGAGCTTGGAAATCAATCCCCCACATCTCTCCACCTCTCTGCCACCTTTCCTTCCTGAAGATACTCCTTAAAATCTCTCTTTGGCCAAGCTCTTGAACATCTGACCTAATATCTCAGCTGACCTAATATCACCACTTGGTATTGTATTTTGCTTTATGATGCTCCTATGAACTATTCTGTTTTGTTATTTTGTTAATGTTATAACTATATAACAATGTTACATAGACGGCTTGTGTGGACCAGAATAACTAGTTGCTACCTTTACAGTGTCCAGTATTGCTGTGGATTCAGGGGCTTTCTCCTCTGTGGTTCCCCTCCTCCACCACAGTCTTCAGTGCTGCAACAAAAAAATCTTGGAGCTTGCTCTCTATCAGGTTATGCTGTCCTTTTGGCTTTTCTAAGCAAAATTCTTTTCAGGAATAACTTCAGCTCTAGCTTCAGTCCAATTGCATCTTTCCTTCAAGATGTGCAGACTGGTTTTAAGTAGTGCGGACTACCTCAAACACATCTCAGCCTCTAATGATTTTGTGCCCTGTGCTCAGGCATGAAGCAATTCAATTGATTATTAGTGTTGGCTGCAATCTTGTAAATCAGTGGACAGCGCAAACTAACAGGTGCAGGTAAATGGGACATCACAATCCCCTTAGACGTTTTTCTTTCTTCCCAAATTTTGCAGTCTTGGTTGTTGTTGCTTTCTGCCATTTTTACAAATTTAACTGAAATACCATGGTATAAGATAGATTTTACTTATTGCTTCTCCTATAAGTTACTAAAAGCTAGTTAAATCATAAGGCAAGGGATTGATTCACTTATGCAAGTGATTTGAAGCATAACATATGAAACAATCTAGGGGAATATTTACATAGATCCAATATGTCGAATAATGCTTCTAAATGTGGTCCAGATTAGCAAGTCACTGGTCAGTTGATAGCTTTACAGTTTAACCTGCTGTTTTGTTTTATTTGCACAAAATAATTCAAAAGAAAAGTTGCTTACAATTGTAGGATTAGGAGAAGGTCGAAAACATAACTCATATACTTGTTCAGGAAAAGGGCACCCAATATGTGCAAGTTTGGCATTTGCTCCTCCTCAGAATGGTCAATTCCATTATTCTGGTGCAACAACACATGATCTGCAATTATATAAAAGCGATATCAGTAAAGGTGGAAATGAGCAGTAGATAAGCAACAACTGAAAGTACAATCTCACCACAAGTGTTATAAAATTGAAAAAATATTCCTCGACGCTGTTGGAGCAACTTAGTAATAGTAATCGCAAAATACTTAAATACAGCGAAAGAACAGAAAAGTCACACTAAAAAGGATTTTTTTCCCCTCTTCAAATAAATCTTCTGAATATTACTTGGAGCGAAGAACACCATCAATAAACTGGTGAACAAAGACAACTACTTTCATTATTTTAACCCATGCAACATTATTCTATTGTTTGTTTTAGATGATTGTCAGAAAAGTGAGAGTTGTTATCTCTCTTCTGTAGATCCACAAATTTCCCTAAAACTTAATTCTGTCCTGTTCCTTCACTTGCCTCCCCATGTTAACTTCCTCCTTTTTTTATAATGTCCATAACACAACACTAATTATCCCACAGGCTTGCTATTTCTTCCACTGAGGCAGAGTTCTTCCCTACTAAAGCTGTGATCCCTCAAAGCGTGTCAAAGTTCATTTGCAAATTCCTTAATCCACAGCTGATGAAAAATCATTGGCCAGAAACTTTAACTCTTAGCATTAGCATTGTCTATCTTCAGGTGTTCCCTGACAACTGAGAAATTTCAGTAGTTTCTATTTTAATTCCAATTTTCCAACATTCTCTGTTTGGTTTTATTTAAGCCCTGCGCTCATACACTTTTCTCCTTGAATACTTCCCACAGCTCTTACACAATTATATCAATAATTATTCTCCCAGTCCACCTAGGCCAAATTGTATTGTCTTGGTCCTTTGATATCAAATGACATAACAGTTAGGTTTAAGAAAAATCAAGGAGCTCATGGCAAACTCTGAGGGCTTAATATGGCCCAGGCCCTAGAGGAATAGGAGCAGCATAGGAGGCCATCTTGAAAAAGAAATTACAATAAACAAACAGAGTACATCAGAAAGCACTGGTCAGCAGAATAAAAGAAAACCGAAAGATTTTTTTAAATACCTGAAGACTAAGAATATAATGCGGGAAAGAGTAGCACCCATTAGGACCAAATTGGACCCAGAAGACATGGACACTGTACTCAATGAATATTTTGCAATGGTTTTCACAACAGGAAAGAAGGATGGACATACAGCTATCAAAGTGGAGGTCTGTGAAATGTTCATTCCATACACGCACCACCCTCTACATGAAAAAAGTTACCCTTTGGGTCCTTTTTAAATCTCTCCCCTCTCACCTTAAACCGACGCCCTCTAGTTCCTCTCTTTGAAACTTCCTCTCACTCTATCACTACTACTGAATCCACCTCTTGCCAAAGTTCATGCTCCACCACTCTCTCTAATGTTGCAACATCTTCCCCACTGTTCTCATCCACCCCTAAGTCTGACACCACTTACCCTGCATGTCCTGTCAACAGCTCAATCTCATTCCGGGAACAAAACAGCCCACAAAACAGTAGCGGCAGTCAAGGTGAGTGGTGTGCTGCCCATCATTTGGCTCTTCACACTTTAGCAGATCCTGATTCTGACCGTGGTGAGCAGTACCTGGACTGGTACCGGAGGTGGTCCTTGGATAACTGTGTCAGGATCCCCTGAGTGTAAGCTATCCTCCTTGACTGGACTTGGGCCTGCTGACAACTCTAACAAGCTTCCTGGTTTATGTTAAATTGCATGACAAAACAGTAGTAATATGAGCCGAGTATCTCTGGCTGAGGGGACAATACACAAAATGACACTGCAAGCAATGGATGTTGACTGAAGAGCCCGGAGATTCAGGCTGATCTAGTTTACGATCGGAGTGGATGTCACTGAGCTCATTGTCTTGGTGCAGCTTGAGAAGCAACTTGCAAGTGGGCTGGGCATGTGTCATGAAGGTTCATAGAGGCTGGTTCATGTTGGCTGCCAATGTCTGTGGATGTATGGTGTATGTGACTGGTGCCCACGGGGTGTGCCCAAGATGTTGGTACCCAGTGTCCAAAATGGATGTCTTTTGAAGCAAGCAGCAAGTTGAACCAATCAACAACCCACTCTGGTTTCCATGTTATGCTTTCTCAATAGCTAGTTTGTATGGTGAGTTTGGTGAGTTACTTGTTAAAAAGATATCTGACAAGCAATAATGAGCATCAACTGGGAACTCTGCTGTCTTCAGTAAGTGTGTTTCTCCATTTGAAGATTGCTTTGTACACATCAATGCTGGATTGGCTCAATTTGTTTGGTGATTTTCACTACTGCCTCAACCTTCTCATTTTACTGGGGGATACAGGGAACATGATCTGTCGTGTTATATTTTCTGATCTTTAATGGAGTAGTTACATTTTTCACTCATAGACAGAGGGCTATAATCATCCATCACAATGTCTGGAGTGCTATAATGACTGAAGTGTCATTTCAGGCTTTTTACAATTCACTGGTAGTTATTAGAGTCAGCTTGACTACCTTCCTGTAGTTAGAATAACAGCCGATAATAAGATAATCAGTTCCTGCAAGAGGAAGAGGTCTATTCTCAGAGACAAGCATTGTCTGTCTGGGATACGATGAATCATCAGTGGCCCTCTAGCTAATTTGGGTTGGTACTCGTCACACGTACTACACTGGCTGATGTGGTCCTTGATTTCATTGCTCATGTTTGGCCAGTAAAGCACTTCCTATGCCTCCTCAACCTTGACTCAATTCTTTGGCAGCTTGCAGAGGTACATTTTAGCATCTCTCCTCTCAACCCTCCAGGGATAATGACCATTTCCTTTGTTCTACATACCAGTTTGGGCTACCAATTCATCTCTGTATACCCGATATTCTTAAGGCCATGGGAGCATCCTTGATACCTTCAGGTCAGCCTTTCATCACTTGGAGAGTAACGTCCCGTTGGCTAGTTCTTTTGATTTGACCAAGGTGCTTTTCTGCTCGGATATCATCCAGAAGATATGGCTGTAACTGGATTAATAATCTTTGCAGATACTGTACTTTAGAGTAGATAATAGTGACCGAAGGAAAATGCTTTGACATGGCTTCTGGTTGTACTCGACTGTTAATTTGTCTCTTCCAAGTGCTACTGATGGAAATTTTCACAAGCGATGACAATAGCCAGTTGCTCTTTCTCAAATTGAGCATGTCCTGGATACAAATTCAACTAGCTGACCTTGCTGCATCAGGTTTGCTCTAAATAATCATGTCTTGCTGGTGCACGTTGCGGGGCAACTTCATCATTTACATCATAGATAAACAGGCGCCAACTCTCTGACACATTCCCCTGCCTCCCCCTCAACCATGACCCCACCCCTGACCAACAAACCATCAACATGGCGACCACAGACATCTCTGTTCACTAAAATTAGGAAACTGAATGTCTTTTGTTCTGTGCCTCAATATTACTGCATATCCTTGGCAGCGATTTGACACAATGGTTCACACACTGATGACAAAGCCGATAAGAATTTTGATAAATAATTGAATAATCCAACAAATTGATGCAATGGTGTGGTATCTGTTGGTCAACATATTGTTACTACAGGTTCCACCTTTTGGGAACCAAGGACCTTTAGCTGACAGCATATACCTGAATCTGATCATCTTTAATTGAAAGTTCTTTTTTGTTCAGCTTCAGGTTCATCCAGCAATCTCTGTGCAGCAGCTGCATTGAGTGTGGTCAGCAACGGTTTTATCAAAAATATCTCTGCATCCATAAACAAGCAGATCATAAATGGTTACGCCCATTCTGGGAAGAGTACTAATTATTTCAAGTTTTCGGTCTTGATACCTTGCTATCCCTATGGAACCATGGAAATGCCAAACAGCATGGGCAACTCTACTTCCTATACAGGATCAGAATGTAGTTAGAAAGCTGCTACCTTCAACCAGCTTCACTTGCCGGTAACAATGTCATATCTAGATTAATGAAGATTTTCCCTTTTGCAACTCGCAGTAAAATGGATGGCATAGGTGATGGTGAGATCTCTTCAGAGCTTTTGTTTAGATTCTGTGTGTCAATGCACAAGCTCAGCTGTCCAGGTTGTTTCCTTACCACCAGCTGCTAATTCATTCTGCAGAAGTTGTCACTTTCTTGATTACTCCTTTCTTTTCCAGTATTTTTTAAAATCTTATTTTTCATGTTGGCCTTAAGAGCAGCTAGAAAATTTCTCAGCAGATACTGAATTTGTTTTACAGTGTCATCTACTTCAACATGATATTTTCTAGGAAAACCTGAATTTTTAAACCCAAGGCTGTACTCCTCTAGGATTTGCCCCATGGTCAATATTTCAGTTCACTGCAAAACATTGCAACTCTCTTCTGGGACACGATGTTATTACTGCAAGCTTTTGACTTGCTCTGGCTGAGATGAGTGGCATTTGCTGGCCATCAATGATTTGGAAGTCGACATCTTCTCACAAGCTGACAGGTTCTCCATACACTGCATAGACCCCACAGGATCCTTGGGTAAGGTGAAGGGCGGTGGGGTATGCTTCCTGATCAACATTTCCTGGTGCTCGGACATAGTGACCCTGCCAAGCCACTGCTCCCCAGACCTTAGAATACCTTACAGTAAAATGCCGTCCCTACTCCCTACCATGAGAGTTCACCTCCGCCATCCTGACAGCAGTCTACATACCACCCCACGCGGATGTGAAGAATGCTCTAGGAGAGATTTTCACTGCCACAAACAAACACTCAAGAGACAAAATTCCCCAAGGCCCTATTCATTGTGGCCAGCAACTTCAACCAAGCCAACCTCAAGAGGGTGGCTGCCAAAATGGCACCAACACATCTCCTGCCCCACCAGAGGACCGAACATCCTGGACCACTGCTTCAACAACCAAACATGCTTACCACTCAATCCCTTGCCCACACTTCAGAAAATCCAACCACAGAGTGCTGTGTTCCTCCTCTCAGCTTATAAACAAAAGCTGAAAATGGGAGAATCCTTCACGAAAAGAAGTACAGGGCTGGTCCGAGGCAGCGGAAGACCATCTCCAGGACTGT